GAACAGGAAACTTGGGGAAATCTCCCCAGTGACACACAAGACAGCAAAAAATACATCATTAGGGTTCTAACCCTTCCCTTTTCTATTTAAAGCTAAAAAAAACAAGGTGTTTGCTTTTATATGCACTTCTTTCATTTATTCACTTTATAATGAAGACCAAACAGAGTAAATGAAAAATGTGTGGTGTTTACTAGCCTCCATAGAAAAGGAACTTTCATATAAGGCCTGGCTCACACCTAGGCATCTTTGAGCAGTTGGAAAAGCGCTTTTAAACGCCCAACACAAGAAATCCCATGATTTTCAATGGCTCCTGTTGACACCTGAGCAGCAAAAGGCCAGCAAGAAAACGCCAAATGCCTGAAAAGGTACATGAGCTTCTTTGGGCAGTTAACAGCGTGTTTTTGCCCCTTAGACTTCTATGGAAACACCGGAAAACAGGCGGTAGAAGCATGTTGCACATTTCCGTGCTCGCTTAAACGCGCATCCGTCCATTGCCCACAATGTTTCATAAGCTACCAGTCAAAAGGCGCATCTTCATGTACAAACACGCATCAAAATGTACAAGCGCGCAAACGATGCCACCTAGTTTTGAACCTGGCCTTACTGTTTATGCCTCCAACAAATGTCTGAGTGGTCACAGGAGAAATACAATGAATGGTGCTTAGAAAATGGTATTCCCTGCACTACCTCTTCATTCATGGTACCATAAGAGAGATTCTTTGCAGCCATGTCTCTGAATATAGAATTTTGTGAACAGAATATTGGCCTTCATAATCTTTTGCTTGTTGACAGACTTTGCTTGTTATTGTGCTAAGATATATAGCATTCATAAGTCCGTTTAACTCTTAAAGGGTACTTTGGAACACATTTTTTCCCTCCAGTTAATGGTAATCACTTGCCAGAAAGGACTGTTAGCCAGTTAAAAGGACCTTTTGAAGTTTTTTTGTATCACAAGCCATCCCGGAGGTCTGCAGAGAGGCTCCTTAATCCAATAAACATTTCTTTGAGAATATGAATAGAAAGCCAAGGGAGAAGCTACAACAAGAGTGTGTTGAGGGTCATTTTAACCAGTTGTTTTACCGTGGGATTTTCCATATATTACCAATGAATTCATGCTCATATTAAGTAATGGTCATAGAAGGATAATGTGTTTACCTGGACAAACTTAATATTTGCAGTATACAAGAAGCCAGCACTATTGAAATGATGCGATGTTATACAGAATGGACAGGCCATGCAAAGGCTGTGAGAATTTCACATAGCTAATAGATCTGGCCAAAGCTGGTCCTACAAGGAATAGATAATTAGATGTAATTAGGGTGTATGAATTGTTGTCTCTTTGACCTCAGCTTGAATCATTTTGGAAGTAAAAACTGCTCGTGGTGTAAATGCTTTGATGTATGAAGAGTCATTGTGGTTTGGCAGTATAAAGGCAGTGTTTTATTCTTTTTACATAATGGCAGCAGTGCATAAAGAGTGAATGAGCATTGCAACCCCCAAATCTGCTCAGCAGCAAGGAACTCTTAGCTTTCTCCAAATAGAATGCAAGAAAAGTGTTCTTTCTTTCTTTCTTTCTTTCTTTCTTTGTTTTCTTGAACTTACAGGTAACGAGAGAAGGAATGTAAACGAAGTAGGGAATCCTTTACTGATAGGCTTTATTTTCACATGTTCTGCTGTTAACACTGGAGCTTAATGTTTTTTTAAGGCATTTGGCAAAAAATGGCAGATTTGTGCATTGTACACACAGAAAAGTTGCACTTACTGAGGATAATGTGGTTTTGCAGACCTTATTGGTTACTGAACTGAGCATATTTATAAAGCAGTGTATGTGACTATTACCAAGCATTCAGTGGTGGTAAAGCAGTCACTGTCATTTAAAACACAGGCACCAGGAAATTTCATCTGCGTTAGATGTTCAGTAAATGTCATATTCACTGCTTTATAAATATTCCCAAAAGTGTATAAAAACCCATATACATTTCTCTTCATTCCCGTTGGTCTGTTAAATATACAGTTCTTTGTTAAATTTGCATGATAAGTGCAAATAAATACCTGTTGATCAGCTAGCATCATTGACAGTTCTCACTGTGGACTGCAGAACACTCCCCTATGCTATGAAGAAGAGGAGAGGGGATGGTGTTCTGTAGTCCTGTCCTAGGACAGCGTTTCTCAAACTTTTTTTTTTTAGTCATGGCACCCTTTAAACCCATTAGTGACTGAGGCCTTTTCTTCGTTTTCTGTACCCCTGATATAATCCACATTTTAGTCCTGAAAAATACTTCAACCCCCCACACATATATTTTCTGAAAGCCAAGACCCTGTAGAATAAAATGTTGACAGTTTAAAAATGTTATGTTTCACGATATTATCAAACCTCAAAATTTAGTGAAAAATGCCCTTAAATGCCCTAAAACACAATTAAATACCCTTTTGTTTATAGAATATAGAAGATGAGGTTACAATGAGTACATAGATACCCAACATGCCCAGGTTACAAAAGTGTGTGCGTCCGTGAAACTGCGACAAAATTCAGTACCCCAAAAAGTCCATAGATGGCAGTCGGCTTTACAATTGTAAACAGAGTCCTGGCTTCTTTAACCGCCGGGAGTCTTTTTAAATGGGCTCGGTGCCAGTGACGTACTATGGATGTCACTGGTCACTAAGGGGTTAAAAGTATGCCCAAAAAAAACACCTAAAGTGTCCAAAAAACCCCCCACCAAAATCCATACCAGACCCTTATCCCAGAATAGGAGTCTGGTATAGATTTTAAGGGGGGACACAACACAAAACCATAACAACAAAAAAACCTTCACATTAGAGCTTCCCCTTTCACATCAGAATCCCCATGAATGGACAATAATGAGGAGGGATGGGTGATTACTGTTTAAGTTGCATCTCTCCCTTTCTTCAGTGCTTGGAAGCTCAGGATTGTGTAGGAGATGATGGGCTGCAAGGTAAGATTATTATACTTTGCAGCAGCCTTCTGCACATAACTCCCAGCTTTTTAAAGTGATATTAAAGTCAAAAAGATTTTAAGCTATTTCAAATGCTGATTAAATCACTTACAATGGATGCTGCTCTTTGATGTTTAATAGTTTTAGTTTTCTGCAGAATCAGTTGGTCCCTAGAGCACTGGTCCTGGTATCATGTTTTAGGGTGGCTCCCATCCTTGCAAGGTCCTATGGAGCCACCCTTGTCTGTGCTAGTAACCTGTGTATGTCTCCATAAACACACAGGTACAGCAGGGCAAGACAATCAACTCCCTGCTCCTCCTTCCTTCTCCCTTCTGCAAGCGAGTAGATGGCCAGCTTCTGGAGACTGCACTGTCTCTTGTGATCTTGTACTGGACAGGAAGTTCAGAGAAGCTGAGTAGAGAAGGTTGGAACCAATTGAAACACGATGACTGTAAGTGATTGGACAAAAATGTAAAGAAATGCTTTTCTTGGCAATGTATATATGTTTGATCGGGATTCTTTATTGAAAAAAACATTGAGAGTGTAATACTACTTTAATGATAATTTACACACCCAGTGTGGTGTGTATTTGATCACTTTACCCGGAGTGTGGCTTTAGGGATTTGGCGCACAGGCTCCTGTACAAATGAAAGCCCCTACCCTCTGATATTTCCATCCTGACACCATAGTAGTTTTTTGCTTGTACTAACTTGAAGTATTCAACAGTTGAATACAGTAAAAAAAAAAAAAAAAAATTACATAGCTAGCTGCACCTTATGTTTGACATATTTCTATTAAAATTAAGTAGCATTTGTTCATAAGTCACACTGAACAATGTTTGAAAGAGTCAGAGTATTACAGCAAATAGGATAATTGCAGATGATTGTGCTTCAGATATGGGTCACATACAGGCACTGCTGTAACACAGCACAGACCAGCACAAGAAAGATTCCCTTTTCTGTAGGGAAATTCTTCCAGAAACTATTTACAGCTAATACTTGCATGAAGGTTAGAAAGGTTGATGAAGTGATACCAAGTTCTCTAGATGTCAGAATGTAATTACCGCTGATTCATAAAACTGTCGCAGAGAAGACCTGCAGTTTATTAATCTACTGATCAGTAGACAAGCTGACAAATAAAGAACACATCGTTTTAAGTCTTGTTGCTTTTGAATGATTGCCAATTACCCCTGAGGTCATGACCAATTCCTACCTGGATTCATTGACATTATTTATTGAAGAGGGGGGAGGTTCTAGCATAGCATATAATAGTAAGACACAGAATATGTCGGTGTGTAATTTTGAGGGTTTTCTTTTTTTAGTTAGGGAATGCCTTGCCATCAGTAATTAACTCCATTCATTTTTTTTTTTTTAATTCAATCAGTCATCATCATCTTATAGAGTTTATACCATTAGTGTACCTGAACACAGAATACACATAATTTGAGGGCGTAAATTTGATTCTGTGATTTGGACTGTGGAGGTCTTGTGTTAAGCCTTAATGTTTAACTGGGTTTTATTTATAATTGTGGGTAATTTTGAATTTGTGTAAGTGGAAAAAGTTTACAGGAGCAGCGACATGAGCATAGCCTTTAAATAATGCCATTCAGATGAAACATACGTACAGTGTTGGTTTTTGTGCCAATGTTTTTCGTTTTCAGTGTTCTATCAAAACTCTTTGTTATATGAGAGGCTTTAGCTGATGTCATATCCCTTTATAGGCCTTTTAGCATGATTAAGAATCATCAGTGTTTGCTTTCTGAGGGAGCAGGGGTTATAAAAAAAAATTCTGGTTTATATTAAAGGCCTATGGCCCACTTTAGCATGTTTAGTTCTGTTCCTGAGCATTAATAATATGATTTGGCTTCATCTCAAGTTTCCAGGCAAATATGACTATTTCTTCACAGAGACCTCAGTATCTTCTAAAATCATAAATTCACCCATCATTCAAATGATAAGCTCTTTAAAGTTTTTATAAACCCCTCATTGTGCTCTTGCTGTTGTTTTTAGCTTTGTTTATCATAATATATTAAATTTTGTCTTGCAGACTTACTGCAACACTGTTCGGCTAGACTCTGGTATAGACTATCGGAAACGGGTACTCGCTGCAGCTGGTAAAATATTCTTCCTGTAAGTATAACTTTCTTCTATTCCTTGCATTATATTTGTTTGGTAAATGTTTATGGTTTGTAATACTGTATATAAGCAGTCCCTCCAATATAGGTTATTGCCAACAGATGAATTAGGACCTTTGTTCACTTCAAACGGGTTTTGCATTCCCATACAAATCTATTAGAGTGCAAAACCCGCTTGTAGCAGGTCTAATGCAGGTCAGGAGGAGATCAACTGCAGGTCAAATGCACCTGTCAAAGTTCTAAACAATCACAGATGCATCCCAAAATGATGCTATCGACACAAGGCAAAAGCCCATCTACACAAGCCCTTAAGACAGCTGTTAGTTTAATTGCTCCATTTGGGATATATTTATGGTGCATGTCTTTGTTTACGTTTCAAATCTAACATGCGAATATTTATCACTTTTCTCATTTTAAATGTGTCTTAAAATCAATGTGCCCATTAAAGAGGTGCCAGCAATAAATTGCAGGTATATCGTTGTATTTACATGATGCTTAGTTGTCATTGAAGGGGCCTAATGTGCGACAAGATTTTTTTTTTATTTATTCAGTTATACCACAGCCAGTCTGCAAAAGCCATGAGCTTGTTTTAATTAAAAGTGATCAGCAGATGTGTAGTAGTAACTAAAAAATAAACAAAATCCCTGGCTCACCTCTGTTGCTGGCCCTGTACCCTCTTGTTCCTGGTGTCGCTATAATAGAGCTCTGATGTGTTCATAAGGTGGGCTCTGATGTGTTCATAAGGTGTGTGCTGTGAAAGTGAAAATAAAAAAAATAAAAAATTAAAATAAATACATTTAATATTATTTAATATTTGAATAAATACATTTTAATGAAAATGTTCATAGAAAAAAATTATTAACACAGCATACCCATGCACACATAATAGGGATATGCAGATACATAAAAGTCCCCTAGCAAGCTGCACCTGTTGTGAATTTTAGGAGTATAATAGACGTGAAATGTTTTTCATTCCTTAAGGTCTTACGGTTAAACGCAACTTTAAATGAACATGCATTTGTCATTTAGTAAAGTATGTCCCAAGTCAATTTTTTTTGGGTAAAAGTGTTAAGATCCCTTTCACCTTCTCAATTTGTTTTGGCAAGCATTGTCAGGTGGATAGGAAAATGATGAGCAATCCATTAGGGATGCTCTGATACCAACTACTATACTCGGTACAAGTACATGTACAGATACTTTTCGAGCTCCATGACTAGACTAGAGAAAAATTCAAAGTTACAGGTCTAAGTATAAACCTGTATGTTTGTACAGCGATAATACACCTAATTTCTAAACTATAAAAAAGTTGTGGTAGTATACCAAAAACCTAAATTTTTTTAAGACAGCACAGTTAACTATTCAGTGATTTTCTTGTTCGTTAGGTGTGATGTTTCTTGTTTTTGCCATTGTACTGAAAGTTGTAGATTTACTTTAAAGTGTATCTAACCCCCCCCCCAAATGTTAATTATT